GCCGCACCATGTCTTCCCTTACTACTTCTACTGATTTACCTCCACCACATATATATTAGCTTTTTAGGGCTTTTCCATATTTTCTAATTTTGGATAGGCACTTTTGTTGACTAGGGCAGTCTTTTGATGTATTTATTTCATTATGATGTATATCTGCCCTAAGTATGATATTTTGAAAAGCATTGTACTCATCTTACTGATATATATATAGATGCCTTCTGCTTATTATTTTCTTGTGTTGATATTTGAGTTAGTACTTGTGATATTTCTCTCTTATACCTATGCTTGATACTCTGATATGTTTTGAGTTGGTTGATTTTGCCAGATGCCACAGATTATGTTTGGGAGTGATGTTTACCTTCTATATTTTTGTGTTGTATATCTTTGCTGGTCTGCGTTTCTAGTAATATCTTTCTAATCTCTCTTTTGTTCTTCCACATTGAGGATAATGTACAAAATAAGTTTGGGGGTAAGGTCAGTTGAGACTGAATTTGAATTTTTTTGAAAATATAATACCAAGGATATGATATTTGATGTTACTAGCATAAGTTTGAGTCTGTTGATTGTTATATACTCCGTTTGCAGTCTGATGTTGGTTAGATATGATTTGTACGCTAAAATATTGTGAAAAGGGATTCTTAAAAATTTTGAAATCGATTGGTGGCCTGTGGTCCACTCTATTAGGATGATCCTTGTTTAATGAAATTAATCTCTGGAATACTACACTTTGCACATATTCACACTTGCATGAATTTTGTGGGGTAAATACCAGAAGTCTTGTTTTGTTTTGAGTTGATTTAATGATTTTGATAACCAAGGCATAAAAATAAAGTAAAGGAATAAAAAAAAGAAAAAAAAAAAACAAGTTGAAAAAAAAAAAAAAAGATTGGTATGTATACAATAAAAGAAAAAATTCTTCACCAATGTGAATGAAAAAAAGAAAAAGAAAAAGAAAAAAAAAAAGAAGTATAAAAAGATCAAGTTCAGGTCTGTACTTAGATTGCTTGAGTGATTAAGTCCTTTGGGGTGTGTTTTGACACCTAATGCCCTAAGACCGTCTGGTCTGGGAGTCATTGGCTAAAAGCTTGTTACATAAGGGGTTTAGGTTACCTAGATTACTTGAAAAATTAAGTCCTGATGGGTACTTTATCACTTAATGCCTTAAGATCATCTGGTCTGGGAGCCATTGGCTGAAATTTCGTTACAAGGGTGATTTAGAAAGCTTAATAGACCTGAATATTGCACAGTATCCTTTATGAAAAAAAATGCATACCTTGAAAAAAAAAAACAATAAATGCCTTGGGAGTTGGAATTTGAAAATTTTGCCTGTGAATTGAGGAATAGCTAAGAATGAATGCACGTATGGATAGTAAGCCACACATTGAATTGTAAGATCACTTTCAGAAAGTGTTTTGGAGATTAAAGTTATTGAATGAATGATTAAACTAATATATGGGGGAAAATGGTTGTTAAATTGAAATTAGAAGTTGAAAGTTTGCCTGATTTCATGATTAGTTGTACTTGCTATATTTGACTGATTAATGAGTTGCAGGGATAATATGATTTGAAAGCAAGCTTAAATGAGCTTACTGTGCACTTAAGGCACTGATCTGAGAAGTTTGTGGGTATCTTCACTGGAAACCATCACGAGACTATAACTCATTCACTAAGGGTAACCTAGGGGTTTAAAGGCTTATTGCATAAGCTAAACGCAACTGTGATTCCCACGAAAGTGGCTTTTAGTTCTGTATTGCTAAGGGACTAGCAATATGTAAGTTTGGGGGTGTGATGAGTGCTGAATATTGTATATTCGAGCCCCTAAATATACGTATGTTAAGGCCTAAAGTAATACTTCTATCCATATTTAGACTGATTTATGTTTAATGTGTGTTTGTAGGTACTTTCCCAGAGAAATGGTTAAAACTGGGACTTTATGATGATATTGAAGCTTACAAAATTGTTGCTAGTCATCCAGAGCAAGTCGAGAGCTTAAATGGTAAAGTTTGGAAGAATTCAGAATCCAAAGCTCGAGCCTAAGTCATGAGGCTCAAGCCTTACAAGTCAAAGAAGACAAAAATCAACAAGGCATTAAAGCTCAAGCCTTGTACCTTCAGGCTCGAGCCTAAACAAAGGGTGCTCGAGCCTTAACCCTTAAGCTCGAGCACAAGGCGTCAGAATTTGAAGAGTTGATTTCCAAGCTCCCAGACCTCGTGCCTAACCCCAATGATCGAGCACCAACCATTGAAGCTCGAGCCTTAAGAACCAAATGCTCGAGCTTGGTACCTAGTGCTCGAGCCCATGAAGCTTAGATTGAGCAATGTTAAAAGATTTCAATCCAAGAATATTCTAAGCATTAAAGAAAAAAAATGCTTCAAAAAGTAATTGAAGAAATTTAGCTAAGTGTCAAAGTAAAGATCGAGCATCAATTCTTGAAGCTCTAGCATCAATCCAGAGAAGCTTGAGCTTTGTTCTTTAAGCTCGAGCCTGAACATTAAAGCTCGAGCCTTTGTTCCTAAAGCTCGAGCTTTCCATGACATGTTAGATTTAAGTTACGGGAATGTCCTCTTTTTCAGCCGTATCTCATTCCAGATGGGCCAGCAGACCTAAAAGCCCACCAGATCCTTATTTTCTTCTACAAAAGAAGGCTTAAGCCTTGATAGAAGAGGTCTGAAATTTCAAGTCCTTTTTGCTGTTTGATTCAGAAGGCTGATACTGTGGTGGCTTTTAGGGTTTCCACAACCTTAGAAAGTGAAGATCCTGAGAAGAGAAGGGTCGTCCGTGACAATGGAGCCAACTCCAACACAAATGATATCCGACATCGTCATGAGTAGCTAATTCCTCTCTTAGGGCACTGATGTAACCCAATCTAGTATTATGGTTTGATTGTCCTTAACTTGGGATAATTCTAATATATGATGTATTCTTGATTATATGACTATGAGCAATTGAGACAACTCAATTGGTTTTCATGCTTTAATAGATTACAAACTGTTATTACCTTATTTTAGATATAATTGTTTGTTTTCTATTCTCAACGTATGGACAGTATTTGGCGGAGCCCTGCCGGACATGAGAACAGAGGTCATATAATGGTGTTCCAATGTTTTTTATAAAAGAATTTTTCATAATCTATGCTTAGGAAAGGTGGATTATTTGCAAAGTAGTTACAGTAGTTAGAGTAGATAGGTGGATAGTCCATGCTAACCGCAGATAGGTTATAGTTAACTGAATTTTGTAAAACATCTTTCTTTAAAACCCGAATTAAACGAATGTTATTGAGTTCAATTCATTTGAAAAACATAATTGTTAAATCCCCAGAGTTGATACAATTAACCATAATATGATGCTTGTGGTAAAGTCAAAACATTAAGATTTCTCTCTCTGATCATTTAGTTTACTCTAGTTTAATATTTTGCTTTAAATTTAGTTTGTTTTTAATCGTGACAACTAACAAAATTTTCAACCAGTTACCAATAAACCAATAAGACTAAATTGAAGACTGAATATAAATCTCATCTCTATGTGGGTTCGACACCTCTCTTTATAGCACTATCCTAAACGGAATCGTACTATTGCGAGTGGTAAAATTAGGCACATCAAATGCCGGAGCAACATATCAAAGAGACATGAATGCCATTTTCCATGACATGATTGGTCCTTTCTTGGAAGTCTACATTGATGATGTAGGTATCAAATCCTCGACCAAAGTTTAACATCTCCATAATCTGAGGATGGCTTTTGAAAGAATGAGGCAGCACAAGTTGAAGATGAATCCCTTAAAGTGTGCTTTTGGGGTTTCAGTTGGAAACTTCCTAGGTTTCCTGGTCCACCAAAGAGGTATTGAGATAGACCAAAATAAGAAAAAGGCAATTATTGAAGCAAAGCCACCAGCTACTAAGAAAGAACTACAAAGATTTCTTGGTCAGGTTGGATATTTAAGGAGGTTCATTGCCAACTATGCTGGAAAGACACATACTTTCTCCCCATTGATGAAATTGAAAGGTGTTGAGGAATTCAAGTGGACAGAACAGCACCACAAGCCTTTGAAGGTTTGAAAAGCTAATTGGCCAACCCTCCAGTGATGATGCCTCCAATCAAGAAGCAGCCTTTGAGATTATACTTATCGGTCACTAATGAGTCCATTAGAACTCTTCTATCCTAGAACAATGAATGGGGGAAGAAGTAAGCCATCTATTATCTAAGTAGGGTGGTCACTCCAATGGAATGTAGGTACACTTCCATTGAAAAGCTGTGCCTTTCCTTATATTATGCGGCTATGAAGTTGAGAACCTACATGTTGCTAGTGGCCGTGTATATCATTTCTCAAACAGATTTGATTAAGTATATGCTTTCAAGGCCTTTGATTACTAGATGCATTGGAAAGTGGTCATTGGCCTTAATGGAGTTTTCTTTTAAATATATTCCACAAAAGGCAGTCAAAGGAAGGGCGATTGTAGAATTTCTAACGGATCATCCTTCTACGAAGATTGATTCAGAAGTATGTGACAAGGTGGATAATCTCTACCTTGACTATACACCTTAGACTCTCATGTTTAATGGATCAAGCACTCATGATGGAGGCAGAGCTGGAATAGTCATCATTTCTCCAAAAGAAAGCAAAAACACATTTTCTTTCGTCTTGGATTTCAAGTATATAAATAACCAAGCTGAATATGAGGCACTTATCATTGGGCTGGAAATCCTGCTAGACCTAAAGGTGGATAAGGTCCAGATTATTGGAGATTCCAACTTGATACTTAGCTAACTTTCTGAAGAATATAGATGTCTCAACTGGCATTTAAGGCCTTTCCACTCTTTAGCCTTGGAATTATTTTGTCAGTTTGATGATTTTCAACTCAAAAATATTGGCCAAGACATTCGAACATGGAGGCTGATGATCTAGCACAGCTAGTCTCTCGAGTGAAAGTTCCACTGGTGTAGAAGAAACCTTGATTACAATCAGAAGAAGGACTCTCCCTTCTGTGGAGTCACGGCATGAGATGGCAGGTCATTTCCAAGCTGACGAGTTAGAAAGAATCAAACCTGCTAAGAAGACATGGGAGATTTTTAATGTTGATATAGATAGATTAGACTTGGAAGATTGGAGAACACCAATTATCCATTTCTTGCAGGAGCCTAATATTAATATGGATAAAAGAGTTCAGCTTTTGGCATCTTATTATATTTTGATTGATGGAGATCTCTTCAAAAAGAGTAAAGAAGATTGACTTTTGTTAAGATGTCTTAGTAAGAATGAGTCCATGAGAGTGATGACAGAATCACACCTTGGAATATGTGGAGCACATCAAGCTGGAATCAAGATAAGGTGGTTTCTTAGAAGGTACAGCTATTATTGGAAAAGGCATTTTAAAAGATTGCTAGAGTTTACAAAGACTTGTATTGCATGTCAAGAACATGGCCCGGTCCACACAGTTCCAGCTATCAACATGCAGCTAATAGTAAAAATATAGCCATTTAGAGGGTGGGCTTTCGATTTTATTGGAAACACCACCATCTACGGATGGCTACACTCATATTGTGGTGGCAACGAATTATTTTACAAAGTGGGTGAAGCCTATTCCATTAAAGACCTGTGAGCAGTCAACAGTAATTAATTTTATCAAGAAGCACATTATTCATAGGTTTGGAATTCCAAAGACTCTCACCACAGACATAGGCCTTTCCTTTGTTGGAAACAAAGTTCTTGATTATTGTGCCGAGTATGGTGTCCAAGTGATCAGTTCCACTCCATATTTTGCCCAATCAAATGGACAGGTTGAAACTTCCAACAAAGTAATTTTCAACATCCTTAAAAAGATGATTGAGAATCATCCAAGGGAGTGGCATCACCTACTTTCCGAAGCTCTTTGGGCTTACAGAAATTCAAGAAGATCAGGTACTGGCGTCACACCATATATGCTTACATATGGACATGATGCCGTCCTGCCAATGGAGATAACTATTAGGTCTGCAAGGGTGGCTTTCCAAAATAAGCTAACTCCAGCATATTACAACCATGCCATGTTGGTGGAATTGAAAGATCTTGATGAAGTCCGTCTTAATGCCTTGGACCATATTGTTGCTCAAAAGAAGAAAGTCATGCGGGCATACAACAAGAAGGTTAAGGCAAAGGCATTTGTTAAAGGAGACCTGGTATGGCAAGTCAGATTTCCACCAAGAGTCAAAGATAAGGAATATAGAAAGTGGACCCCTAATTGGAATGGTCCTTACTTGGTGGAACGAGTCCTTGGAAAAGGAGTTTATAGATTGATGGATATAGATGGAGGACCTCACAAGCATCCTGTGAATGGGGTATACTTGAAAGAGTATTACCCTTCCATCTATGAGAACTGAAAGTCCACAATCGTTCTACCAGCCACGTAACTTGGCTGGTACCTTCCTTTCCAATTAAACCAGAAAGTTGGAAAGGAGGCATAATGGCCATCTTTTAGCCATTTTGATAGCTAAGTCAAAATGGATGAAGAATTCATTACAAGAAAGCTAAGTGCTTGAATTCCTAAGTATGGAACATTTCAGTGAGAAAGAGGTTACACTGCATGGTCCAGGTTTCGTTCATACTAGAAATTGTTCATCTTGCTTGTATATATATGTATTTCCATTGTAGCAATTTCTTTTATTTCTTTGAATTCCTTTGTTATGGAAAGTCATTTTATGGCTAGGCCTTATTGTTAATATATATGAAGGAGTTTTCCAGTTTTAATGACTTAGAAATTTTTGCATATAAATTGTAAAAGAAGCACATGCAAAGGAATTGACAAATAAAACATCATTTCATTAGATACTTGACTTCATTGCAAATTCCAAAATGGCCACTAACCCTAAGAGCTGGCTATGCAAGTGATTTCAAAAGTTATCTACTTATTCCCATCTATTAACCCATAAGTTTTATAAAAGCAACCATATTAAATAGAGGCAAGACTATTTCCAAATTCCAACCAAAGTTTCCTTGATTCTTCAAGAGTAGCCAATGCCTTAACCTTAGCATCCTCAAATTGTGGAAATTTATTGACCCGCATTTCCCATTTTTTCCTTAAAGGCTCAGATGCATTGACAAGGGCACTAGTTATTTGGTCCAGTTCAAACTATTCATGTTCCACCTGTTCTAATTCCCTTTGAATCTTGGTCAGCTCCTCATTCAATTCTTCTTTCTTGGCCATAAGCTTTTCAGCTTGCTCTTTGATTTTTGGGTAAAGCTCTAGTGAGAGCTGGAAATCCTCAAGAGCTTTATCTTTGAGCCTAGCCTCCTTTTCATACTCAGAAATTATGGAAGAGCTGGAGCTCACATGGGCAACAATGAATTGGAGTTGGTGTTGCAGTTTGGTCAAGGAAGTTTGGATGTGCTCAGGAAATTCAGGATGTTTTTTTAGGGTCATTATGGTGCTAGCCAAACTCTAGTGGAAAGATGCCACATCCTCTACGTCATGAGCATGATAAGACAATAGTTTTTCTTTGGCCACCATGATAACATCAGGACACTGGCACTTGAGGTAGAAGTACTAGAAGACTTGGTGGCCTTGATCAATTTGTAGAGATCGGCCAAAGCTGGAAGGGCTCTTCTCTGCACCATGAAGAAGGTTGAGGTAGACAAGGAAGAAGTTGCTGAAGTGAGAACAAGTTTTTATTAGATAGAAAGAAAGAAAGGAGGCAAAGTTTAAAAGTATAACGACTTGCCTCTAGGATGGAAGGAGCATGGCCTGTTAAAGTTCCACCAGTTCCGGAAGGAATGAATATTCCTATAGTAGGAGTTGGAATAGGCAGACTTTTCTCGCTTTTGCTGGTCAAACTCTCCATAATTGAAGCTTGAAAGGTCAAATCCTCTCCTTGTGCAATTTGTTGGTCCAGGTAGATATGCATGAATTTGTGTCCCATAGAAGAGCCCTGTTGGTCAAGTTGGAAGAGAGTTACAAACGTTTTAAAATGATAAAACTAGAAGGGGATAAAGATAGTGACTTATTAGAACAAGTTATTTGGACAGCTTTGATTTTTTATGTTTTGGAGAGTCTCTGGGCTGTTTAAATTCTTCCATTTTATCCAGATAAGGCATGATTTTCCTTTTTGCTTTTCCAATAATCTTTCCAGATGGGCTACCATTTTAAGGGCTTTGCTAGAATGTTGTGTAGTGGTTTGCCTTTTGGAAATACCAATTTCTTCATCAGAGGAATCTTCATTAGAAGAGAAGAGCTGGGGTTGAAATTCTTTCTTGACAATAGTTGGTCCCTGCAAAAGGAAATATAAGTAAGGTCCAGAATATGGAAAATTAAGTCCAGCCACATTGAAAATACCTGAGAAGTTTTTCCTTTTCCCTTTACTTTATACAAAATATCTTCTTTTTCTTCTGGTAGTCTACATTTTCCTCTTCAAGTTCTTCCTCTTCTTCATCTTCACTTGAGGAAATACTTTCAACACTTCCATCTCCATTTTTGGCCACCCCTTCAATTTTGCTGGGCATTGCAGTAGTCTTCTTTCCACCTTCATCCTCCTCACTTTCCTCGAGTATTTCTTCTTCTTCATCTAGAATTTATCAGATTAATTTTCAGTACATGGAAGATTGACAGATTTCAAGAAGGAAAGATGGAAAGGAAAATTTGCAATAATGATATTTGTACCTGGAGATAAAGGCTTGAAGGAAGCTAATATGGAATCACAAATAGCCTTGTGATTTTTTGTCCGGGTGGAAGAACTATAAGCTGACCACCATACATTAAATTCATTGGTTGACCGAGGCTTGCTAGTATGGCCTTGGAAGTTAAAAATTGCCCTTTCCGCTGCATAAGCTTTGTCAATTGCTGCAAATTGCTCATCATCTGTAAGCCTTACTCGTTGGTCAAAGAACCTATTATAGGACTTGTAAGGTGGCAAAGGAATCATCTGGGTAAAACCCATTTGCCTAGCCAGTTAGGTTGGATTGTAGAACTCAATGCTGCAAAAGCTATTCTTTAGAGCGGGCTGGGCAGTGCTATAATGAAGATCACAGGCAAGAAGAAAGCTAGCCCGAATATTTTTCCAATCTTCAGAATGTTTTTTTGGTAGACACTCCAGGAGATGGAACCAACTATGATGGCATACGGTTAAGGGAGGTAAATGGGTCAAAGAATCCATCATCACCAGTCTTACATTGATTGTAAAAATATACGAAGTTTTCAACAAAGCTGAAAGGAGAAGGGTCCGCTATTGCCAGAGAGTAGCATAGGAGGGATTTTCTAGTTTGAATGGCTATGGGTGAAGTTCTACTTTGGAAATACACCTTAAGCCACATCTGGAATAACCAGAAGGGACCTTGGAACCCTAAGAATTTTGAGGCAAGAAAGTCATTCAAGCCTCTGTACAAATGAGAAAGCATAAGAGGAGCCAGGGCTAAATCTCCATTTCTGGCTAATGAGATTGCCACTTGAACAAAGTCTTTCGTGACTTGGCCAGATGGAACACACAATAAATGGCCAGAAAGCCAACAGATCAGGAAAACAATGTGTTCTTCTTCTTGAACTGGCCCAGTTTTCTTGCAATGTTTGATAAAAGGAAGGTGGGAGGAGATGAATTTCTTACTTCTAGTGTTTTTAGTAGGGAAAATGAATTGATCAATGTAGAGGGTGGCACTTACATCATCTCCATGGGGCTTAAGACTTGTAATGCAACAAATATCCCTCAGAATGGGAGACATCATGCCACATTTAAGGTGAAGGGAATTAGTGGTCGAAGACCAAAAGAAGAGAACTGGAAAAATGAGGTTCGGGTCAAGCGTAATGGAAGACTTGTTGATTTGAATGATGTCAAATATGCCTTGCCTTTTCCATTGTGAAGAAATTTTTTCATCTTTGGAAAGGCGACTCACCCAAGAAGACCAGGATGAACGGTATGTTGCCAATTTTTTATATTGAAGGAGGGTTTCACCTTTTTTCCTTTCTTTGAGATAAGAGGAAATTCTGACTCAAAGGGGAGAGAGGACTTATAGGAAGGGTAGAATTCGGCCAATTCAGAAGGGGCTACGTCGGTGAAAGCTGGACCCAATCCAATTGAAGAATCTTTGAAATGAACCAGAGGCTCAGGATGAAGTCTAGCAGGGTTTAAGGACTTCAAAAGCATTTGAACATAGTGGTTATGGCTTCAGGTTTGGACTTTGGTTTGAACAGAAGGGGCTGGCAAAGATGAGCTAGCGGTTTGTTTGGAGGGTTTCTTAGGAGCCATAGTTTGTGATTCTCGCAGATTACGATTTCTTTGAAAGTAGAAGAGAGAATAAAAGGTTTTTTGTGGTTAAGTGATGAGGATGGAAGGTATATATATATATATATATATAGGAACAATGAGGGAGATATTAAAATTTAGATACGCTTTTCGAGGATTGGTAGATGGGGTTTTTCAAAATTTAGAAGGGAAGTTTTAAGGATTTTGGAAGTTGAATGGTGTAAGGCCATAAATGGATAAAAGGTTTATGGGAACACGAAATATGTTTTTGTTTGGTGGTAGGAAAAAGTGGCATAGGGAAAGTCAAGAGACCAGCCGAATAACGCGCAGGAGATCTTCTAATGATTACATTGAGTTCCTAAAGACCAATAACACTTTTTGAGGATGGGTAGTTGGAGGATTTCAAAATTCAAAAAAGGGAAATAACAAGGATTGGGAAGTCTGACAGTTTTAGTGCCATAAATGGATAGGACTCCTGATGAAATACGGAATTAATGAGATTGTTGCAGAGGAAGCCGAGGGAGCAGCCACGTGTTACATAGAAGCTTTCCTTTTAATGATTATCTTAAGTTTCCAAGAGTCTAAGGACATATTTAGAGGGGGTTTAGTTGGAATTTTAAAATTTAAAAGAAGTAGTGCGATTTTTTGGGATGTCATAAATGGATAAGATCTTTTGAGATACGGTATTTTTGTGATTGGTGACAAAAGAGATTGGTATGGGTGCAACCAAGAAGCCAGCTGTATGAAACGTTGAAGGTTGGATGACCGTGATAGTAACATTGAAGATTAAGTGGGCCATGATGGCAAAAGTTCAAATCCCATGCCTTGTCATAAAATTGTTCCATGCGACATGGAATTTGGGGGGCATATGTTTACTCCATTATTTTTGCTCAATGGAAAGATGACAAATGGCGAGTTTTAACAAGCTTGCCATATTGGATTAATACTCTAATTATCTAAAAGAAGAAGGTGACATGGAATTATTTATATAATCTACCAATAGAGAAGAGGTACATGGCGAGTTCCAATGGAACTTGTCACACCGGAGCGTAACTCTGACAAATTTCCTTTGGAATATTAAAACCATGGGGAATTGTTAATTGAAAGAAAGTGGCAAGTCCTATTAGGACTTACCAACTTTGGATATAATGTCCTAAAAGTATAGGAAGGTGGCATGGAGTCACTATCATGAGTGCAACCTCATATGAATATTTAAGTCAAAGATTAACCAACCAATGGTTTATTAACACGTGGCGAGTTATACTAAACTGGCCACGGTAGATTAATTCTTTTAAGAGTTGATTTTATTAATGGGAAGTCCTATTCTTATAGGATTACAATTAAATGGATATTTTCCATTTATTACGAAATCAAGGTTGACTAAGTAGGACGTGGGGCTGGATTTTCTGTTAAAATCTAGGGGGTTCTCAACAACTACATCTGACTAAATCAAGGAGGAAGTGGGGTGTTGTTTCCAGAAATACAAAATATATTCCCAAATATATATATTTTATATAGCCCACGATGGGATAAAGGAGTTGCTATAATTTTGGGGGCCACAACGCCATAAACTTTGAACATGGAAGGGAAGTTTCAAGAAGAAAAAATTGCAAAAGTTGTGGACGCCAATCCATGTTAAGAAGAACGCTGAAATTTAGGAGTTCATGGCGTCGTGGAGTCTAAAGTCACAAAGGAGAAGGAATATGGGTGATAATTTGCATCGTGGATGTATATATATTCATACATATGTGCACACTCACAATGAAGAGAAGTGGTTAATTTTGGACACGATGCCATGAAAGGAAGGAAGTCCAGCTGGAAGAGGTTACCTAAAGCCAAGTGAACGTGGGTATGTGTATAATTTCTATATACATGCATTATATATATAAAAGTTATATAGAAGGAAAGATTTTAAAGAACGTGGGATAAATGGATAAACAGAGTACATCAATTGAGAGTGGTGGTCTTGCATACAACTACTACCACTAACTGATGTGGTTGTCAGATAATTGGGATAACAGGGCCACTAAAATCGTGCTTGAAGAAAGGAGAACAAGAAGACATGGGGTATGTGTCAGTTTATGGAGAAGACAAGTGGAAGACCCACTCTAAAACTACCCACGATATAAGTTAATGGAAGAGAAAAGAGACATGGTTTAAGTGAAACATCAGAAGAAATCTACAGCAAGAGAAAGGAGGAAGAAGATGGTGGCAGAAATAAAAGGAATTGCCAAGAACATGGGACACTTGGTAGCATCGGACTAGGCCAAGTGGAAGTTGCTGAAGTCGCCACATCTCAGTTTTTGCATGCAAGGAGGTCTATAAATAGTGCACCAAGGATTAACTTGCAAAGGGTCTCTGTTCAATGCACACAACACAGCTCAAAGCTTTATCAACACGAACATCTTTGCTTTCATGTATCTCTCATTTCCACAATGAGTTTGCACTATGTCTAAACCTAGCACTTTGCTAGTACATGTATTTCCATTCCAACAATGAATGTACATCATTTTAAGTTGAGTCCAATAATTTGCTATTTTGTATAGCATTCATTCCATGCGATGAATTCTCATAACGCTCGAGTTAAGTCCAGCACTCTCTCCATTTCTTCTAGCCAAGCATTGCATTTCCATGTCTCTTAATTCCTAGTCCTGCACCTTCAATATCGTCTTCTTTTCCATTAGCCGTAGAATAGTTTAAAGTCCTTATTCAAAGGCAAAAAAAGACCCTTCGAAGGTGGTCACTCCAGACATTCGTACAATCGCCTAATCCTTACAATTTTCCAACTGGATTACTGTTCGGATTTCCACTTTGGAACTACTGCGGTTCTTGGCACGCCCGCACACCACACTATTCTATCCTATCCACATTCCACACAATCCGAAGAGCGGAACCAGTGCTTTCCCGTGAGCCGAACAAAACCAAAGAGAAATGGCTGAAACACGCCGCGTGCGTGAAGTTGACGAAGCACAAAGAAATCAGTGTGATTTTGAAAAAGAGAAAGAGAGTTTGGGTTTATGAAAAGGGAAAGAGAGAGAAAAGTGAGTACCTAAAAAAACAGCCGTGAGACAACGACGAGGTGATGCCGGAACAACCTAGTAGAACTATGCTATTTTGAGGTAGACCGTGACAAGAGAGAGAGATGACATACGGGACGGTGACGAGGGAGGGAGGCGCTAAAGCAAAAAAGGATATTTTGTTTTCCTTTCTTTTTCTTCTTCTTCTTTTTTTTTTTTTTTTTTTTCTTTTCGGTAGTTTTCTATTTTATTTTTTTAACGTCCTTTTCCGTCTGACTCTAAAGTTATCTATTTTAAAAAACTTCCATTTTATACTTCAGCTATAACACGACCTATTTATTGCAGAGGATCTTAAGCCCAAACTTTATATCTATCTCTTCCTCTGGAAAGACGTGTTTCTATCTTCAAAACCAACTTCACATGTTAAACCAATCTTCACGTGCCAATATCACCCATTGACTTTGAAAGAGACTCTTTTATATATATATATATATCCAAATGCAACTCCCTTCAGTGTGTAAATTGACTTTAGTCTTGAATAAAAGTCTTAAAGCAACATTCTTCAATTGTTTTATTACTTTTCTCAAAATGAAAATAATACCGTTCTCTCCGATCGGCAAATGTCATCTAACCAAATAAATTTTTTTTTTTTTAGGATGCAAACAAGAAACATATTCATATACTCATTTTGTCCATTGGAATTTGAAATCTCAACCTTCTTTTTTTGAAAGACAGAGAAATACTACTTAGACTATAAGGCCTTTGATATATAAAAGTTTAAAGTGTAGTTTTAATATTTATATTCATATTTATTTGTGAACAACTCTATTAATTGGTTAAACATAGATACATATTAAAACATATACTGTATCTACCTACCATATAGCACTAAAGGGTGAGCAATTTTTATTTTTATATATATTTTTTAAAAGTTTAATTGTTAACTTCTATTCAATTAGGAATTATAAGAGACAAAATAAATCCTATTCAATTAAGAATTTTAAAAAATATAAAATTAATTACATCAAATGTCTTTTACAATTTATTAACAGGCTAATGGTGTCAAACTCCTACTTTTTAAAGGGAGATCAGCCTGATCAATGGTTCAAGTCTTACTGGAGGCATGTGTGTGTGTGAATACTAACTAAGAAAAAAAAAAAAAAAAAATGTCTCTTACCATTTGAAATTCAAAGAAACACAAAATTACTTAATTTTTATAAAAAAACATTTAGAAGTTTAATTGTTAATTCCCATTCAATTGACAATTACAAGAGACACAAAATTAATCATACCAAAAGACTTCTACAATTTAAAATTTAAGGGATACAAAATTAAGTAATTTAAATTCACACACCATTGAGTGAGTAATAAGTCTTTATTTAATAGCAAAAATAAAACAATCCTCACATTCCATATCTAAAACATGCTATTATGCATATACCTACTACAGCTCCAACCTGATGTCGTACCCATACCTATATTTGTAACTCAAACATTTCTCAACAGAAAAATAAATATTTTGCATCATGCTCATTGACCTGGCAAGTGCCTAGTTCCAGAGTGGTTGGGTTGCTTCCAGTATTCAGGAGTACGTGTTCCAGTCTTGCACTATCTCCTTCCCTTAATCACTAACCCCTAACATTCTTGCCATAAAAAAATAAAAAATAAAAAATAAATAAAAATACTCATCTACTTGTAGCATTGATTTCTATAGATAGAGGATTCAGTTCATCCAGGCATTGATTTTTATAGATAGAGGAATCAGTTCATCCATGCACCGAGCAACCCATAAAGAGAGTCCTTAATTTGAATGAAGATCTAAACTAGGGAGCTAATAACGGTTAAAAAAAAAAAAAATACAAGACGCTTCTCGTTGCTAACCATTAGGCCTGAAACTAAAACTCTTTCAAAAATCAATAACAACCCTTGCAGTACCAATCAGAGCACTGGCAATGACAAAAAGACAGTAAATAAAAAGTGACTGATCTTCATACCCACTCTGTAAATAGATTTGCAAAGCTTGATCTGACCCTCCTCCACTTTTCTCTTCATTAGATTAGAGAAATATTCTAAAACTATGGTGAATAATAAAGGAGACAAGGGACATGCCCTTCACTTACTTCCTCGGTGTTTTAATATTCTAAAACAGCAAATTGCAATTGATTATTGATTTACCTCTCAAAAAAAAAATTTAATTTAATTATTCATTTGGTTGTGGTTATGCCCTTCACTTACTTCCTCGGTGTTTTAATATTTATGTTCTTATAGTTTTCCACAAAAAGAAAATTTGCAATGATAGGAATTAGAAATTAGAAAGATAAAAAGAGTCGGAGTGAAGGACAGAGCACAAAAAACTTCTTTTTGTGGAGATGGAGAGAAAAAGTAAAGTCTGAAAGAGCCAAAACAAAGCTCCAGTGAAATATTGAGAGAAATGACTTGAATAGGGGCAAGTTGGGCATACATGTATATAAAATTAAAGAGTGGAGCGATGATAATATTGAAGCGCCAATATCAGCTCCCTAAAAAAAGTACGACTCCCTAAACAATATACAAACTTATATTGGTAATTACTTGTAGCTATGCTGGAAGAGCAGCATTTGCACGAGCGACATCCAATGCTTCATTGAAAACGTACCACGCTCATCAAGGCTTGAGTTACAAAATAATGTCAAGTAAGAAAGGGGTTGACAAAAGTCTAAGAAGGTATGGGCCCAAAACAGCATAGAAGGAGGAGAAAGAAGCTTAAGGGGGGAAGTGTGACATGCAATCTTAACTGATTTGAGAAAGAAGAAGACAATGTCCAGAGAAATTCTTTTTTTTTTTTTTTATATTTTTTTTCATAATTGGTGTTGTATTATAAATGGAAGAATTAAATACAGGTGCACAGAGAGCATACCCTCAGAGAAAAGGAAAACACGAGATCACAACCTATGAGTAATGAATAAGCCCACTTCCCGTACAAGCTAAGACACCAGAGTAACATTCTAAGGGATAAGATCATAGACTGAAGCATTCCCGACATCATGGGCTTCAAACAACACCTGCTTAGCAATTGAGTGAGGAGTTCTATGGGATGCACCATGGAGTCTAATATTCCTCTCTAGCCAAATGCCCCATAAAGCAGCAACAAAAAGACACATAAGAGTTTTTGAAGCATGATACTTCCGTCTAAACCAGAGAAACAGATCCCAAAACTGCTGCATTGATGCAAATAGATCCATATCCTAATCAAGCACCTCACCAAACCAAAACCAGACTGCCTGAGCAAATTAACAGGAAACAAATATATGGTCTCTTGAATCACATTCTTGAAAGCAATTTGAACATCTGGATGCTAGCTGGATTCTCCTTCTCTGCAGATTTACCATAGAAGGAATTCTATCAAGCATTACAAAGACAGCATTGACATACCATCTAGGTCTAGCTTTACCCCAGCACATAGAATGCCAATCAACTTCTTCATAAGAGATCCTACAACTCTGCCAGGCCTTTTTGAAAGAAAACCTTCCACCCTCTTAAAGAACTCTATCATCATTAGGATGTATAGGAATCCGAATTGAAGTGATGAATTCTCTAACGTGCAGAAAAATGTCTTCCTGTAACAGTTGCATATTCCAGGTACCATTAATCATGAGACTGAAGGTTAGACTCCCTAGGAAGAGATAATCTCCGAGCAACCCTATGACCAAAATTTTGAGCAACTGATTGTCCACCACACCAAGGATCCAGAAATAATTGTAACGACTGTCCATTACCAATAGAGAAAATTTTGAGATTGTTAGGCATTCTAAATGAAAGAACTAGTCTTTTGCATCTAATATTCTTTGGAGAGTCGGTGAGCTGAGGTGGGAATTAAATGATAAGACAAACATATAGGAATAACTTAAGAAGATAACAAGAGGCTTCAGGAAGGCACTAAAAATGAAATTAAGTTCAAGTGGATCTGGTGGAATGCATTGGAAGGCACCCAGAACATTTTTGCTCCAACTTATACGTAACTAAACAAGCAGGAGTGAGTGACTAAAATCATTTTCAACCAATTAGTGGATTTTGAGAGTTTACATTGCAATTACAAAGAAACAAGGATTTTCAAAGTCTATATTGATACTTTAATTTAATCCCTTCATTTGAGGTGTAACTCATATTTTGTTTATTTTGTTTGCTACAGTAGAAAGGTAAAGTTAAAGAATACAAGTTTTGCCAAAGCATTCACCACTCTCAATTGCACAGACAATGTCACTCTATAGCTTATAGTTATGCAATTAAGATGTGTAGCAAAAGATTTGGAAATCACCTGCCTATTGTTCTTTTTTCTTAGTCGGTACTCACATACACATGCCTCCATTGAGGCTCAAACCTCAGACGTCCCTTTGGGAAGCAAGGGCCTGGTACTGCTAGGCCATTGGCCTATTGGTATCACCTGCTTATTGAAATACAGCTTAAACATGGTCTCTTTGATACAAATTTGAAAACTATGAACCAAGATATAGTTTCTCAATCCAGGTAGCAAAAGATTTGGAATTCACCTGCCTATTGAAATACGGCTTAAATATGGACTGTTCGATACAAATTTGAAAACTATGAACCATGATATAGGTTCTCAAACCAGGCCATGCATACCATTCTCAACTCTCCAGTCCTACCATTCCAGCATTTCTTTAATTTGCTAAACAAGATCTAAACCAAGAAATGAGGAGCAAGCTTGAACAAAAGAAAAGAAAAAAGTTACCTGTTCCATCCGATTTGGAATTCTGAATTGTGACACAAGTCCAACATCTGATCCATTCTCTCCTCCATAGTCTATTCCATTTGCTTAACTATTTTGGCTTTGTGACCAAATTTTAGCTTTAGCCTTTGTAGCCTTGGCCTTATTTTCTACTGCATCAGCCCACTGTCGCAGCCTCCGCTCTCCTACAAGTAATATACAACTCTTCACAAGAGCAACATCCTGAGGTAGCTGATGTGGGCTTCACTCTATATCCTAGCCCAAACTTATTCCCTGACTTATTCTAACCAAGCACATTCTCAGCAATAATATCAATATCAATCAAGGTGGGGGTCTTCGGGCATCTGCAAAGCTGAGTATCCTTTCTTGTCATTTCCTCCGACAAACATATAATCAAAAAAGAGAAATATAATTTGATAAGGTTACATTGATAGACAATATAACAATTAATTACAAGTTAATAGCATCTTTTTATGTGGAGCACTTGAGATTCTTGGGCAGTCCATTCTTTTTTAGACCTATAATGTGTTTGCTCAAATAGCTCAGTTCGAGTGACTTCCTGTTTTCTCTTACCACACTATTTATAAAATAGGAGATGTTAAAATTTGCTATTAACATTGTAATAAAAGTAAGTAAAAACAGTTAAACTTCTTAAATAAGAACATGAAGTACATATTACCAGCTCCTCATGAAGCCAAACAAGAGACTTTTATCCACCACAATCAGTAACTTTTTGCTTGGCCCTATTCGCTTGGTTAATTTTACTCATTTCCTGTATTGTTATATAAATAATTTATGAAAACATGCAAATATCTATAGATGAAGTTACAATTGGGTCATTGCAAGAAGTTAGCAATAAAAAAAGTAAATAATGCAATTTATAAACATGCTACAAAGGGAGCCACTAATACATCTAGAATAGGTCATATCCAAGAAGTGATATATGACAAAACTGATTTTAGGAAAAGAAAAACAAGTCAGGTCATTTTCCACTAATGACAAACTAGTTTCCATGCAAGATCTGTAACCATGCAGTCAAGAAGTTCAGCTATCAGAGTTCAGACTAATCTAGCCTAGTGGTTTGGGGACAATAGAGTTTTTCTAAGGGAATACTTGACATTAGTGACAAAATGGCAGTCAATGTTTAACCAAATATTTCACCAAATATGTGGAATATTGACACCGACGACATATTGGGTGAGTGAGAGTTTATGGGATCCCCATTTCTTTCTTTTTTGTTTTTGTTTTTTTATAATTTTTTATATTATTATTACTACTTTTTGGCCCAAATTTGTCCTTACCATCCATATCCATCTCTCTCTTTCATATGAATAGACAAAGCAGCCAAAAACAAATACCTCTCTATTGCAATTGTCTTTTAAACAATATGGAAATTAAAACTAAGATATTGTCCACCCAAAAAGCCCTAATTGTTCAATAGTCTAACAAAATCAAAACTTGAAGGAAAGAAAAAAGTGAAACAAAATTTCAACAAAAGCCACAAAGTTTGCAACTTAAAACACAAAGGGACTTGAAACTGCTAGTGCTAATAGGGATTTTTCTCTAAACAAACTAAAAGAACATATAAACAATGAAACCATGTGATCCAGCTAAGCTTGGCTGCATAAAGAACTGCAGAGAAGTAGAAAAGAATGGACCACTTAAATTTATGAGATAAATATATTAAATTCTAATGCATTGAAACAAAATTAAGTACAAGAATGCGTACCAAAGATCACACAAGTATATAGCTACTGCTATTTCCAAAGCTATCACCGAGTTTCTAGCATCCTCCCAATTTATACAATGGAAGCCCCAAATGACAAAGAAAACACAAATCCAGTTCAATAAAGAGCTCAAGAAAGTGTTCAGAAGCAATAAATGATCAATGTATGATTTGAAAGTTGTCCATGTTCAGCTGCAAAAAACCTTCTTTCTCTCCCCCATATATGTTGCCAACTCAGTGGCAGAAAGGAGGTTTCTTTGTAACCATTTACTGCTATATTCCCCACCAAAGTAGATGCCCCTTGGGTTGCTCTTGTTGATTGGAACATGATTGGGTTGCTCTTGGTGAAAACTTGTCAGGCTTTTAATAGAAGGATTCATGCCAAATTAGATAGAGTTTTGAATAACAGCTCCTCATGCTCAGTTTCCAAATTAGTGTTTTGATCTCAGCCTCTTTGCCTAAACATTATGCAATGCCCTATGGATATTGCCAGGGATCCTAAGCATTTTAAATTCCTTAAGGTATGGTGCACTCGACAAGGAATTGAAGATAAGTTAAAGAAACTGGGAGTTCTGTTACAGATAGACACCTCTCCTATAAATTCTTTGACTAAGAAGTTGCCGAAGGTGAAGTCTGCTGTTAAAGAATGGAATAAGAAGTGTTTCGGACCTGTTCAAGCTCAAGTTATGGTTTCTAGAGATATACTTAGTCACATTCAAGCTGCTTTGTTCCAATACTCGGTTAATAGAAGTTGAAAATTATGCTAGAAAGGAGTTGGACATGCCTTAAGCTTTGAGGAAATCCTGTATGGTAAAAAATTCAGATGTAAGTCGTTAAAGGAGAATGACAGATGCACATCCTTCTTCCATCATAGACTGGCAAAGAATAGATCTTCCAATGCCATCACAGCTCTTCAGAATGACATGAACCAGTGGACTTAGGATCAGAACATTATCAAGCAATGATTGGTAGATTATTACAAGCAACTGTATGAGGCTGAAGCTGTTTCTATTGCTGATATTTTCCCTCCCAGAATCTCATTCACAGCAATGTAAGCAAGCATAAAATCCCTTGCTCTACAGAGGCTCAATTAGGGGCTGAGAAAGCCCCGGATATGATGGATTCCCTCCAAGGTCCTTCCAGCAGTTTTGGGCTATTGTGCAAGATGATGGTGTTGCTGCTGAGGTACATCTTCCACCACTTTAAAATGTCCAAAGGAGTTGGTAGTACCTTTCCTACTCTCATCCCTATAAAGAATGGGGTTTTGAAGGTATCTGATCTTAGACCCATAGCCTTTATGTACTATTATTTACAAAATTGATACAAAACTAATGGCAAACAGGCTAGCTTTGGTTCTTCCAGAACTAGTAGAGTCTGAACAAAATGCCTTTATCAAAGGCAGAAGGATACATGGTTATGTTCTCATAGTCCAAGAGTTTTTTAGAGGTTTTAATTCATCTAGGCATCCCTTCCATGGCTCTGAAACTTGATTTCAAGAAAGCTTACTATTTTGTGCCCTGGGATTTCATGCTTAAACTCCTAAAGTCCTATAGTTTAGGTGACAAATGGATAAGTTGGGTCAAAGAAAGTTTCCAATCTGCTTGGTTCTCTATTATGTTAAATGGCTCACCATTTGGCATTTTTCAACCAAACTGAGGCCTGAGACCAGGCTGCCCATTATCCCCATTGCTTCGCACAGTTGTCACTGAATATTTCTCCAATTTGGTTGAAAGAGAAACTTCATATGGCCACTGCCCATTGCTTCTATGCTGCTGACTTGATTATGGTTATAGTGTTATACATGCCAAGATTCCCCCAGCTAAAGTAAGTATTCAAGTTTCAACAACAATTCAAGGACAGTTCAGGGCTTTCTGTCAACCTTGACAAAAGCTTTGTTTACTACTCTACAGCATTGAGAAGGAGGAGACCTTGAATAGGGTGCTAAAGTTTAAAAATTGGTACTATCCCATTCAATTATATGGGACTTTCAGCGCATACTCAGAATCTCAGAGCTGTTGCCCTAAACCCCTTGACAAATTTTCTGGAAAAATTTCTAATTGGAACTCAGGCTCTCTATATCTTGCAGGTAGAATTGAAATGCTGATACCATCCTTAATTCTTTCTTGTATTACTGGTGTTCTGCTTTCACTTTACCTAATCCTATAGCAACAACTCCAATTGCACTAGGGAAAGACACCATTTTCTGGAATTATGGAAGTTGCAACTTCAGATTTGTATGGAAAAGGATCAGAGTTAAACATCCAAAAGTCTCTTGAGCCAAGCTTGTTTGGAATAAAGGAGAAGATATTGGGTGAGCCAGGCATACCATGTCGTTGGTATGCCCATCTCTATTAGAAAGAAGGGTATACCTGGCTCACTCAATATCTACTCAGAATAAAGGGAGGCCAAGGCCCTGCTCTGGCTATCCTTGACAGAGACCTTTAATGGTTAATCTGTAGATTAGAGGTATATGCCTAGTTCTAGTCTGCTATAACTGCTTCAAGGCAATGGACTCAACTGACCACTTTTTCTAGAATTGCCCCTTTGCTAAATCAGTTTGGAATTAGATTAAGGACTGCCTTGATTGGAATCTTCCTCAAAATATCTACATTTCATCAGTTGGTGCAATGGGGAAGTGGAAATCTTAAGCCTGATACTCGAAGGAATCAGAACAATAGGATGACATTCACATGTGCAGTGTGGGGCATTTGGAACGCCAGAAATCATACTGTTCATCAAGACTCACCCTTCTCCTTCTTGTGTTGCTACGTCTGCCATTTGAGGGGCCCTTCACATTGCTGAGATTACTCTTGTTGATTGGCCTGGGCTATATTTTCTTCTATTTATATATATTTTGGAAGTTGAGCGAGCATAGAAGTCTAACAATTTTCTTCTATTTTTCCCTTTCATTGCTCTTCTATTTTCTGTTTACTGGAAATGGAGCCCAATGCTTGTAATGTGAGGGGTATGCTTCCACTTGGAGAAAAAAAAATGAAACAGAATCCAATGGTTTCCCGTCTAATAATAATAGGATGCATCAGAAAATAGAAAAGTATAAGCACAAAGTTTGGCTTGCTACTATTAATTGTGAATTTTCAGCAGCAATAAAAGAATTATATAGTAGTAACTTACAAAAAAAATAATTAAAAAGTTGTACAGTATTATTATTATTATTATTATTATTATTATTTTATATAAATAGGATTTAACCACACCAAAATAATATTTCCTTTTGACAACAAAGCAATTTATTTTATTTTATTTTATTTTATTACAGTCACGATTTCTGTTGCCATTAAAGCTGAATAAATTAAAAGGTAAATCTTAACAACTCATGTTCCTATTTTCTAAAACTAAATAGAAGACCATATGTTTGTCAAAGCACTCTCAAGTGGGAGTTTAAGAAATAATGTTTTTCTGCAAGTCCTTTCAAGAAGTAGCTGACACATAATCAGTGCGAAATTGTATTTATGAGATGTAAGAATTGGACAATTGACCTTAAGATACCTGGATTATCTCAGTGGAAGAATAAATATAACACTAACATGCCTGTATAATGAAACAAAAAATGGAGGGAGAACATTATGACATACCATTATCCATAATTAATATTGTACAGAAGTGGAAAAACCGATTTTGTTTGTGTTTTTATTCCAATGAAGAGTATAAAGATAGGAGAACAGACTGTGAAAGAAATTACCACGAACAAAGCATTCAATGAATTATGTGAGAATTATGCAAAGGCAGCAACTGCTGGTACTTCCAATTGGTCACATGAGGTAAAATCTGACTTGTTCTGCTCTTCATCAGCCTGTGAATCACCAGTATCAGGAATATAACCAGCTAGCTTCATCTGTTGAGCAAGAATTTTCAGAAGTAGATAAATTTCCTTCTTTTGAGGATGTCTTCTGTCTTTCACCATGAAATTATGCACCTGACCCTGAATTTCAATCCAACTGCATCCCGGTTGCTTAACAATACCCCGCTGCCTCATAAGCTTCCTAACTCTTGTAACATCCCTCCATCTTCCAAGCTCAGCATACATGTTTGAGAGGAGAACATAGGGACCAGAGTTTTCAGGATCAATCTCTAGGAGCTTCTCGGCTACAAACTTACCTAATTCCAGGTTACCATGAATTTTACAAGCAGCAAGCAAAGATCCCCATACAACACCATCCGGCTGCATTGGAATGGATTCTATCAACTTCTTCGCTTCATTGAGGCAACCGGCTCGACCAAGCAAATCAACCATACATGTATAATGATCCTTCATGGGTTCTATACCATGCTCCTTGCTCATTGAGAAGAAATATTGGCACCCCTCTTCAACCAGCCCCGTGTGGCTACAAGCACAAAGAACCCCAATCATAGTGACATGGTCTGGTTTCTCTCCAGATATCAACATTTCCCTGAACATTCCAAGAGCTTCAGTCCCATGTCCATTTTGTGCATACCCTACTATCATGGCATTCCATGAAACCCAATCTCTTTCAACCATTTTCTCAAATACCCGGCTCCCATCTTCAACCGATCCGCATTTCATGTACATATCTATTAAAGAGTTCCCCACAAAAATATCAGACTCTGGTCCAGACTGAAACTGAAATCCATGCTTCAAGACATGAGTGTGAGCCTGCCTACCGAGCTTCAGATCAGCTAAATTTGAACATGCATTGAGGAGATTACCAAAGGTGTAGTGTGTAGGCCAAACAGATTCCCTCTTTAGGAGGTGGAAGAGTCCTAATGCCTCTTCATTCTCCCCATTCTGTGTATAGCCTGCAATTAGTGCATTCCAAGATATGACATTCTTTTCTATCATCTTTGTAAACATTAATCTTGCAGCTTTCACACTTGCCACTTTTGCATAACCACTCACCATGGAGGTTTCGGACACCACATTCCTAGTTGGCATCCTATCAAAAACCCATCTAGCTTCATTAATTTTATTGCATTTTGCATACATGTCAACCAACGCATTACATATAACAACATCATCCCTAAATTTTTCAACTTTCACAATCCGGGCATGAATCTGATGACCTTCTTTGATTGCTAACAAGCTTGCACAGGCGCTGACCATACTGGCAAGAGTGAGCTCATCGGGTTCAAGCCCACATTCCATCATCCTCACAAAGATCTTTATAGCTTCATCTGCTGGACCATTTTGCTCATAACATGTTATCAAGCTATTCCATGTCACCATATTCCGTTCGTTCATCCCATCGAAAACTTCTTGAGCACAAGCCACACTCCCACATTTAGCATACATATCAACAAGTGCAGACCCCATATAAACATCCAATAAGTACGGAGATTTTGATATTGAAGCGTGGATCTGGGTACCCATTTTTATATCCACTAAACCCGAACAAGCACTAAGAGCACTAGCAAAAGTGTATTCATTCAGTACAAAATCCTCCCTATGCATCTCAACAAAGAAATTAAGGGATTCCTTAAAGTGATCATGTTGAGCAAACCCTGAGATCATTAAATTCCGAGAGCACTGATCGGGCTCAGGCATCAACCGAAAAAGCCGCACCGCTTCGTCAAGAGAACCCGATTTTGTTAATGCACTTAAAACCGAGTTCCAAGTGAAAGCATTCTTTTGGGGCATCCGATCAAACACCTTGCGTGCATCGTCCAAACAGCCACACTTTCCGTACACATCTATCAACCTATTCTGGATGAAAATTTCTGAGAAAAACTGAGACTTTATGATGCGGGCATGGACATGACGGGTGTCCCGAGCTGACTTTGAGCGGAGATATGTATCCAATAGCTTTGCTAAGGGTGATGAGTTGAGGAGAGAGAGGTCGCCAACAACTTGTGTAAGTAATCCATGTCTTTTCATTCCATAATCTCATGATATAACAGTTTCAGCGAACGATGAACATAGCCAGCATATCATTTGAATGAATCATGTTGATCGACAGATAGAAACATCAGAAACCTTGGCACTAATTCTTTCACTGTACATCAAAACACTCTATCTGCAACGTGGACCGCGAATCAGCTTTTGGGTAATTATTGAAGAAAAATACTTCCATCCCGTGCAGGACACTTCATCCTCCCTGCTTACGTGGCCTCATGTGGTCACGTGGTTATGACGACGTATGTTCAATAATAAAAATGGGCAATACCCATTTTTGCGGTTAAACCTGCTTTCCCTTATTAGTTTGCGTTTGGATAAATAGGAGAGAAAAAAAAGAAATGATAGTATTAGTTAGGAGAGAAAAGAAAAAAAAAAGAAATGATAGTAATAATTTTTAATTATGTTTGGATGGATAGGAGAGAAGAGAAAAGGAAGGATAGTTATTCTTGTTTGGATAAAATAGAGGAGAGAAAAGGAAAAATAATGACCAAATTACTATCCTACCCTTTCTTAATGTCCCTAATTCTCCCAAACCATTTTATGTCGCCTCAAAGCAAGCATCCATTGTTCATTTTTCTTTTATTTCTTAGGGACACTTTTAATCAAAATATATCAAGAATTAATTAAAGTAATATCCCTAAAAATACTTTTATTTTTTGGTCAAAACAAGTGGTTTCTTCGGAACAAGGCGCTGAAGATATCTAACAAAAAAAAAAAAATTCCCACTGAACTGGTTTTTTTTTCTCTGTATCTCCTATTGATTTTCCTTTTCCTAATTAGTATTCTCCTCAGATTTTGCAACAGTTTTTGATTTACAAGACATCAATTTCTTATGTAGAATTATTTTGCTGCACTGTTAGCAGATTTTGCAACTGTGTATTCATTTAAATCTGGAGCATTTCGTTAGCATCTACTACATGTTATATCACAATTACTGAAAGTAGTATAGTACTGTAGTGCATTTATCTTCAAAGAGATTCTAGAAATAGACTAAATTCTCTCAATTCTGAAAAAGCAAAGGGGAAAAAAGGAAAAACAAACATATAAGTAAACCAATTTCATCATGATTCCATGGAATAACTGAATGTGAGTTCCAGTTTCAATTATCCCCTCCATGGGTCTCGCTACATTTATACTCTTAATTGAGAAACCACACCTCTTTCATGCTCCGAGTATGTTGCATTTAACACATCAATTTTCTATATCTAGTTCTAGTTTAAGAGGTAAAGATGGGTACCCTGAAAACAAAAATTTTAAGCAAAGTTCTTAAACCATTGATCGCTTTTTCAAATTCTTGTAAGCACAATGTTGGGACTTGAATGGAATAATTTTTATACATATTGATTTGTGGAGGTTATTTTAGGTATTATCAAAATACCACTTATGTTCACTATCATTTATCTCCCTATCTTCTCAAAATTGGAGATAAAGTAAATGAGGGATAGGAAGAGATAGCTATCCCTCCCTGTCTCTCCATATCCTCTCTTTTCTCTCCATTTAACCTACCCAAACATACTCACATCCTATCATTTCTTTTCTTTTCTCTCCCTATCCCTCCAAATCAACCCATCCAAACACACCCCAAATGCAGAAGACCCAGTATGAAGTGATGAATATTGTGCCTATCACAAAGTTCAGTGCGGGGAAGAGGACGGCGACAGTTAGGAGGCGGCCGTATAGAGCTTTGAAGAAACCATTGGCGACTGCTTGGTCGACGGCAGTTGTGGGTGAGGCGGTCAGCGATGAGGAGAACATCGGCGATCTGGAGGAAGAAGATGATTGACGTCGCATGAGTTATAGTTGCGATGAAATATTTTGGTTCTTGGTGATGGCGCCGAGAGTGGAGAGGTTATGGTTGCCGACGGTGAAGCCCGTGAAGGCTGTGCCCGAATTATGGTTGCCGACGGTGAAGCCCGTGAAGGCTGTGCCCGAATTATGTTGCCGACGGTGAAGCCCATGAAGGTGGTGCCGAAATTACCTTGTTCGTCCCCACGGACGATGCGTTCTCGGATCAATCTTTTCTAAACGAGGGCTTAGCAAGACGACCACGCAATGCCCGGCATTTTAACATCACAGCCCGCCCCACATATGGGTGGTCGGAAAATCTGTTTTAAATTCCGTATATAAGTAGCCTCACTTTTTCAATGGAACGCTGCCTCATTCTTGGCTAAGAAAATAGGCATTTTTTCATTTTAGTGCACATCATTTCCCAACCTAAGAGCATGACCGGGTTAAATCTTCTATGCTATTTCCACTGGAATCTTTGGGAAGATCCAAGCCTAGTGAAGGTGGGATAGGTAGTGCGCCGCCGCGGGAACTGAGGAAGGCATCAAATTGATGCGAACTTGATAATCAAATGCCCAGCCCCAAAACTAAGGAAGGCATCAAATTGAACTTAATTTCTCATTTGGAGAGAGAGAAAAGAGACTGATAGGGGAAGTGGGTTTAACCTGCAAAAATGGGCCCATTTTTATTATTGGACACATGTGGCGAAACAACATGCTGCCACGTAAGTAGGGAGGATGAAGTTCATCCTCCCTGTGCAGGATGGAAGTGTCTCTCATTATTAAATGAACAATACTTGCATCCTTCGGGCGGAGGATGAGGTTCATCCTCTGCGCTGACGTGGCCTAATGACATGATGACAAGTGTCCAAAATAAAAATAATAATAAAACATGGGCAATGCCCATTTTGTCCGGCTTAAACCTGTTTCTTACTCTCTTCTCTATGTTTCTCTTAATACCTAATCTATCTGTTGCCGCAACAAACCCATTTCCATCTTCTCTAGCAAGACCACTTATCTTTCATTTATTCTCTCTCGTCTCTTTCTCTTTCTCACTCTCTCTAATACTGTATCTTTCTCACTGGAAAATAAGCAAGGAGTGGGTCAGTCGAGGTGCTTCTCCATTGTCGTGAATCCATCATCGCCACTACTAATTCAATGACCAGTAATCGCACCTTCGGCAGTCGCCGCCAGCTTGCCATCAACTGTGCATCCTTGCACCATCGCTAGCTCGACGCCGTTGTTCCATTTCATCCTTATTCAGTCCTTCGTTCCAAGCTTATTATCGGTTCTTGCTTCTCCTGCGCAGACCGTTCATGAAACGTCTCTGCGTATCTTTGCTCAGTCCTTCTTTGGTGACCTGTCCTTCTCTCTATCAGATCTCGTCTCAATCCCACACCCTCACAGGACCAAACCACGCCTATTGGATTCCCATCTATCATGACCCATTAGAGATTGATAAATTAGGGTTTAAATTGGTCAATTTGTAGGGTTCAATTTTGGTCTTAATGAGAATTGGAGAGGAAATTATTGATTCACTTCTCAAATTTTCGATTTGTATCCACACAGAAATGAAGAGAGAGAAATGGGAAGATTAGAATGGGGCGCAATTTAGGTATTGAGAGAAAGAGAGAGAAGAGAGTAAGAAACGGGTTTAACCCGGACAAAATAGGCATTGCCCATGTTTTATTATTATTTTTATTTTGGACACCTATCATTATGTCATTGGGCCACGTCCGCGCGAAGGATAAGGTGGATGCAAGTATTGTTCTTATTAAATTTGGGCACAAAGACACTAAGAGCATCTCCAATGGGTTTTACGAATTTTTCACATCAGCATTTTTCAATAGCCACGTCAATATTTTTCATAACCACATTAGCATTTTAGAGTCTCTAAATTTTAACTATCATACTCCAATGGTGCATTTTCGTTCTCCAAAAATATTAATATTTTCATATTTTTTAAATTTTTAATAAATTTTATTTTTTAACTTTTTGCTAACGGCTATATTTTTAAAACGGCTATATCATACAAAAAAATTTAAACAATACAATATTTATTATTAAAAACAATACGATACAACATGAATTTAAACAATACAATAAAAATAAAAAACAATATAATACGACATGAATTAAAAACATAAAGTGCTAGTCTTTTCAATCTGTGTTAGTTTGCTTTGAAGCTCGAGTTGTCTTGTCTTTTTTTTATCTGCTTTGCATGCCTCTCATGTTATTTGAGTTGCTTCAAGACTTTTAGATTGTCTTTGATAAAAGGGCTGTTGCATAATTGAATTTAGGAATGAAATCATTCTGAATTTGGTTAGAACATTTATTCTTATTTCGCCTCTACTTCGCTACTTTTCGTCCTTGTGGTCATTGACATTCTTCAACATCCATCAGATCATTTTCGCCTATGTGCACCAATCCTTTAACCAAACTTGGTGTCGTTGCTGCATTACTTGATGGAGAAGATGGGTTTGAGTGACCAATAGGCTCACAATCATCAATGTGGATTCCACTCCTCTTCTTCGGTGGTTGTTTTTTTTAGATGTCAATTCTTTTTGACAATGTAAATGTCATTTATTGTTGCTCTTCAAAATGTTCCAACAACTATTAAACTTAAATTTGGTGTTATTTTGACGAGTGAACAACTCTTTGGCTGTTATCATCTAAAAAAATAAAAAATAATAATTATTAGAAGACAAATCTTTAAAATATCTACCAATTAAATTTAATATAATAAATAACTTACCTTGTACTCATTGTCTTGCCCACTGGGGTAATTTCTTTTGATCTGGGCCATGCATGCGGAAAATTTGGTAATCATTTGTTATGTGAAGAACCAATAATTCAAGCAAGCGATATGATTTCTTTTAGGTGTACCAGCACCACTAATGTGTTGCTCAAAACTTTCTTGAATTTGGATCCATAAGGCTATCTTTTGTTGGTCTGAACCGTTGACCTCATCAGTGCTAATGGTCATCGACGCATAACATAAAGCCTTATCTTCAACCGTGGACCAATTAGGAGGCCGAATAGCCCTTTGCTTTCTGGGAGGTTTGGAGTTATTGGATTGTGGCACTTCCGTAGGAATGTTAGAAACTTGAGAAGGTTGATGAGACAAAAATTGACATTATTCTCCAATAAAATGAGATTCTTCTCCAACAAATAAGAAGAGATCAAAATTATAATTAGATTGATTGAATTGGGAGTTATAGTTGTGATATGGTGGTGGAGAATTCATGGAATTGAACTTGAGTAAAAAAATATAACTAAAAGATTGAGAAAATGACTTAATAGTTGTAGTTGTAGGTTGAAGACTAGAGAAGATGGGTTGGATATGAGGTGAATAATAGTAGGGGTTGATGTATTTATAAAAGAAAAATGAAAGGTTTTTTTTTTTTAAATAAATAAATAAATATATATATATATAATATATAATTA